GGCGCACCCCCTCCAGGCCAAAGCCCGACAGGCCCAGAGGCCCCGAACCCCAACAGGCAGTCACTTTGATGCTTCTTTTATGAAAAATCTACAACAAACAAAAGAAAAAGACAAAGAAGCAGCCGAACTAGCAATCCTCAACAACTTTTTAAAGAAGCAGCCGAACTAGCAATCCTCAACAACTTTTTAAAGAAGCAGCCGAACTAGCAATCCTCAACAACTTTTTAAAGAAGCAGCTGAACTAGCAAGACTCAACAATATTTTAATTTTTTACATCAGGAGCCAAAGTTCTGTTTCAGGAAATCACATCCCCAGCAATGGGCGGTTGTAGGATTAAGCTGTACAAGGGTTCATACACCGCTAGTTGGCAGTATTGCGCATATTGTACAAGAATTGTCAGCTAGTAGGTGTCAAATTGAACTTGTGCTTTAAAATTAGCTTCTGCTAATTTTTGWATGACATAAGCATTTTTGAAGTTGGGGACCTAAATATTTTCATAAGCGCTTTAGAAATTGCAGAGCTAATTTTAGGATTAGTGCTGCCCACCACTTTTAATTACACTAAAAACTGACAACCAACATTTTTTGCCTTTGTTGTTACACATTAATAAGACTAGTGTACTTAAAATGGACAAAAATAGCCTAATAAATATTGTTACTGTACTCTTGTTTATTTGACATGAAAATGTTGTTTATCATCTGGTAACAGCTGGGGGCATGGGTCTCTGCTGCTGCTGTTTTGTGGGTCAAAAGCTGAAAAGTTTGGGAAGCACTGGTCTAAACTAAAGAAAGATGTTGATACACTCCTMTAAGGAATGCAAGAGCTTTTTTGTTAAAGAAAGTTAACCTCGAGAATTTAGGATTAAGTGTTCAGCTCCTGCACAGCAAGCCCCCCACTCCCCCACGCCCCCCAGGAGGGTTGAGGTGAAAACTTGAGTGATGCCCCCCCCCCCCCTTCTCAAAGCAGCCCTCTCACTTTGACACCAGCCTTCCTATGGAGCTCCCAGTGGGAAATCCCTGCCATTCAATGAGCTGGTTCTTCCATAGAACTGCAGTAAGAGCGAAGCCTCTGTGAGGTTGAAGTGCTCCAGTAAAACAGGTGTTATTTTTAAAAATGGTCTCTGTAACCTCCACTGTTTATACGGACCATCTCTAAATGCATGCATCATGCAGGAGGTGTGCTGCAATGTTTTCTCCCCGTCAAAGCTAATATTTTTTTGTTTAATTTATGGAAAGAAATGTTCCTGTTGTGAGATGACTTTTAATCACATTTCTAATTATTTCTCGTGGATTTAAAATAAAATCTCAGCAGTGTCTGCAATAAAAAGACAGTGACTTAGAGCTGTGTACTGTACAACGTTGTAACAGTCTGACAGCTTCTTCAGAACCTCCGAACAGTTATAGCCCAGATCTGTCAGGCAGCCTTCTGCTTCGTACATATGTTACTTCTAATAACGCAAAACAGCAACACACGATGTCAACTGATACCAAGACCAGAGACTTTTCCACACAAGTTGTCTTCATTATCTCTAGACGACAGAATGTAAACTCCTTCACCTGTGCATCTCCCCTCTGCAGTCCCTCTGTTGATGGAGCTGCGTGTCACTTACTTTAGGAAACTGCTTGACTGGTATTAAAACTTTCTGGCCCAGTTTCATGTTCTTGTTGATGACGACATCGATGAATTTCTCCTCGTCTTTGCCCTCGTCTCTCTGAATTTTTTCGATCTCTAGAAAAAGAGGAAGAAGAAAAGTCAGGAGGTGGTTTCAGGCAGCAGCTGTGGTGGTTACAGCAGGTAGTTTTGATGGTTGAGCAGTCAGGTGGATTTCACGTACTCCTTCAGTTGTAGTTTAGATTGAACAAACCCCTTCATCCAGTAACCACACACACACACACACACACACACACAAGTAGTGAGTTGTTAGGACAGAAACAGAAAGGGTGATTACCGTATTTATACGTGTGAAATACGATCTCATGTATAATACGATCTCATGTAAAATACGACCAACCCTTTTTTTGAGCTTAAAAAGCATTWAAAAAATTTAATCCTCAAACTACCTCCAATTTCATACAGACTTCAAGATTTTTCAGCCTTTGCAGTCTTTATACATATCAGTAAAATGATCATTGGACTGTTCATTTTATTTTAACAACAAATGTACTAAAAGGTATTTTGACAACAAATATATATCAGCTGTAGCATCATCATATGAATTCTGGCATTTTACACATAGTCCACCAGGAGGCGCCAACACAAAAGTCACAGACTTCACATGAGATTTGGACCATCTTGTGGGGGAAAAGCAGATTAATTCCTACTCGTGAGCGCCCCCTTTGGTGGAGAAATGTTTTTTTAGAGATACAAACTTTTTCAGAACACCAGTAGATGGCAGCCATTACAGACGAACATGTGTTTGTTGTTGTTCGTGGAGCGGCTCGGTCACACACTAATGTTATTAGTTTGTTATCATCACTAAGGTGCAGGAAATACCCCCCACTTTTTTCACATCATGTCACCTGCCTGGATCTGTTATTATCTCGCCGTGAAGCATGGCGGAGTGTCACAGGTAAGGTTGTTTCAACTGCTTTTTACGACACGGTCTCATTTCCGGACTCAGGCATTTTGTGAATGAAGCCGATATTTCAGTTAAAATACATAAGTAAAAATATTTATCAAAGTATAGTACTACCCCACAACTTTATGGATGATTTTATGGATTTAATTTTACATATTATACTTGAATAAATACGGTAACTGTTTCTGTCCTACACTACACTTAACCAAGTTGGGGCACCAGGTCTTTTATTGACCAACATTTATTCACCCTTTTTAATCAGACTCACTAAAGTGAGGTTCATATGATGTAACAATGAATTCTTCTCAGGCAAAAAAAAACCTCAAAGATGAGGAACCAGCTTTGTCTTTTGTGGTAATTTATAACAAAAATATAGCAAGAATCAATTTGAATCATGAATAAAAACTGTAAAAATAACACAAAAAACGAAGCAATAAGGTTTCAAAACAGTTAAAGACGAAAAGGATTGTAGACTTGATGTTATACATCTAGTTAAGTTAAGGTCTGGATGTTAAAACATTTATAGACTGAAAATATATTTGTCTTAAAGGATATATTTTTCTTAACTGACAGGAGACCCAGTTTAAAACCTATAAGTTTTGTCATTTTAGAAAGAAAGTGTTAAGATCTGAGCCAGACTGTTTTAGTAACTTTTTAGTAACTTTAGTAAGTTTGGAAGTCGGACCCTGTCAGGGCTGATCGTTGTCGCAGATTCTGTTCACAACTTTTATGGACAGAATTTCTCAGTGCAGCCAGGGGGTGGAGGGAGTTTGGTTTGGTGGCCACAGGATTCCATCTCTGCTATTTGCAGATGATGTGGTTCTGTTGGCGTCATCATACTATGATCTTCAATGAAGCGGCTGGGATGAGGATCGGCACCTCCGACTCTGAGTCCATGGTCCTCAGTCAGAAAAGGGTGGATTGTTCTCTCTGGGTTGGGGGTGAAGTTCTGCCTCAAGTGAAGGTGTTCGAGTATCTTGGCATTTTGTTCATGAGTGAGAGAATAATGAAATGTGAGATTGATAGACGAATCGGTGCTGCTTCTGCAGTATTACAGACTCTATACCAGTCTGCAGGAAGGAGGGATCTGAGCTGTAAGGAAAAGCTCTCTGTTTACAGGTCAGTCTACATTCCTACCTTCACCTATAGTCAAGAACTTTGGGTACTGACCAAAAGAATGAGATTGTGGATACAAGCATTTTTATATTGCCAGATTTTTATTTAAAACGTATTCCTTTCTCTCGCTTCGTCCACCATTACTAGCAGAAAAAAATCTATGGTCGGCCCACAATGCATTATGGGATATGGTGGGCCGGGAAGGATCCATCGGACCAGTCCTTTGATTCGGGCCAAAGGAAGGATGCATTTGCAGCCGCATTGGAGGAGTCTTTGGATTTGGACAGCCTCTGTCGCGGTGGTGTGACGTAAGCGGCTGACGAATTCGGCCTTTGGAGGACCTGGCCTCTGAATTTGGACAGAGCCATTAAAAAGTGATGATGACGAAGATGATGACACTGAGCCCCAACACGTTTTCCAAACACTTCTTTCTTACTTGCTGTTGTTTCTGTGTTTACTGTCATTTTGTTGTTTGCACCTGTTGGCCTAAATTTAGGTTTGCCTAAATTCTCAACATTAATTATTGAAAAATATATCATGAACCACTGGAAAATTTTTATTAAGTAATCCCATCAGTCAAGCCAGCCACGGCTAACAATTAGCCAGTACAAAAACGGCTTTCCCAAATACTGAGTTACAATTTAGTGTGGTTGTGTGCTAAGACTAATTCACACATGAAAAAGTTTAAATCACTTCCCTCACTGAGGCTCTGTCAGCATCTTTAAAATCTGAGCAGGTAGTGTTATTTTCCTTGAACCGACACAGTCGCTGTTTCTAACAAATAAAAGGAAGGACATTGCAGCTCGCACCTCCAGGCTACCAAAACACACCAGCTGTCACACTTCTTCTTTCAGCAGGGCCCCAGACTTTGATATATTGGGAGATGTAACCTCGAACGTTTAATCAGATGGATAACATCTGTGTTTCAGCGGCAGGAAAATGGTTTTTGCAGGAAGGGCAGCAGGGAGGTCCCCTACAAAGACTTCAGGCTAAAAGCCCAGCAGGGGAAAGGGTGAGGCAGGGGGCAGACACCATTACAGATTTATTTCTCCTGTGTGAAATGATTTTATTTTAAAAAAAAAAAGAAAAGAAAACAAACTGCACCATCACAATTCTTTAACTTTTCCAACTGAACTTTAGTTGAATTTTTTTTTTGTTTTTTTTAACTGCGTTGAACATGTGAGACTGGAAACTCAGAGAGGAAACTGACTCCTGAACAGTGCAGTGTTACATCTGCAGATCGTAATTAAAACCTTTGATAGGAGCTTTAAGTAGGATAAAAGACATATCAGGGAGATGGAGATATCTTTAAGCCTCAGTTTATCCCGGGGGGGCCAGAGAGAGCACACACGCTCTGGAAAAAGACAGCATTAATATTAATGCATCGCCTAGCAACATGCCAAGACGGAGTTACTTCCTTCCACCAGGCGTTGTCCTCAAAACATTCAGCCTCTGGTGTGTTGGCAGATTGGGACTCAGATTAGGGTTTAATTTTTCTCTCCTCAAGCTTACGGCACATTTCTTCCTAAAAATCGTCTATTTAATATCCAAAAATACTCCTGCAGTGCATGAAGTCAATCAGCATGTGTAAGGAAAAAAAAAAACCAGACTCAAACTCTAAACAAGAGATCTTTCCTTAAGCTCTGATGGGTCTGTTGGATCTCTGCTGTTTCTGAGGAGGAAACGTGACAGCTGCCTCAACCTCAGAGTCATTACCATGTGCTCAAACAATAGATTTAAATAAATACGCTCCTGACACTGGCACAGTAATCCTGCTGTTTCTTTTTCTTCTTTTTCTTTCCGCCTCTTCAGATTCCTGCAGGTCCATTTGTCTGCTTGACAGCCACAACACAAACCTTTTATGGAAACTGCAACCCAGAACTCTGAATCTCAACAAAAAAAAGCCTTTTTGTGTAATAACTTGGTTGGGTTTTGTGTGTATATCTTTTATACAACAACTTTGCTGACACAAGACAAAATACAAAATGCAATTTAGTTTGTCTTAACTTCATATTCTGTCAGTTTTTCAAATGAAGAACTGAAAAAACAAACATGTTCTGAAGGTTTAATGTAATGTTTGACACCAGTATGGTTCAGACATGTACTGTTATCACAGATTCTGTGAGGACACCGTTTTAAGCCTCACATAACTAGTTGAGACCAAACACAATTAAAAATGCATATTTGAACCTACATCAGAAAGGTAAAACCTGTGTTTATCAAGAAAACATCTGATTTTTTTCTTGAATTGTAGGGTTTTTTGTATAGTTGGAAAAATGTCTCTAGCTGTGTTTCCATTGACCATGAAAATACACAAATTAGAATTTCGAAAATAAATTTGCTCAATGGAAACACGTCATTTTCGGAAAAAATTACATTTTTCGACAAAATGTTTTTGCACTAGGATGAGATGGTTTTTCGGCCGTATCGAAATTGGTGTTTTTTGCAAAACTGCAATGGAAACATTCTTTTCGCATCACGGGAGTCACGTGATCAACAACCGGCTGTTTCTACTGGTGAAAAAGACGACGACAAAGAAGATAACAGGAAGTAGAAGTAGTAGTAATTTCACCGAAGTAGTAAAAGAAAGTAGTAAACTCACCGACTACAATTTCCCAAAAACACAGCATACGTACGGTAGTCACTCCCAAGTAGGGACTTGTCTCTGGAAAGCCTCGATAAAAGACGCCGACGTCTCCTCTGATGATGAGCGCTAGTGTCATGGTAGCAACATGCTATGTGTTTACATCCATCACCGCCATGTTTGTAATGACTTATCATGAGAACAAACGTATTCATGCATGACTTTAATAGCATGTCTTACGTAATGGAAACACCGCAGTTGCGAAACTGTATTTTTCGACATTAACAGAATATCGACAAAGTTTTGCACATATTTGCAATGGAAACACAGCTTCTATCATTCAAGCCAGGTTCACACGGAATGTTTTGAGCAGCAAAAATGCTCCCAACGCCTCAAGTTAGATGTGCTACTCAAGTTAGATGTGCTACGTTCAGACCGGGACAAAGACTA